AAACCACCAGAAAACCGGAAGAAGCTCTATGGCTCTCAAGTGGTAGAGCACTCTCCTTGAGCTGAAGAGCTCAGGGACAGCACCCAGGCCCAGAGTTCAAGCCCAACGACTGAGGGAAAAAAAAAAAAAAAAGCAATGTTCGAAGTGGCCTCTACCTGTAAATTTCTAGCACTTAGGATTCTGAGGCAGAAGGGTCTTGAGTTGAGGTCAGCTTGGGTTACAGACCAAGACTCTATCACCAAAAACTTTTACAAGGAAATTAATTTCCTTGTCCATTATTGTTTAAATTATAATCATTTTGGAAGAAAACAAGGTATGAAGCCAGCTCTTGCCAATTTTTACCACTTTCAGTTTACTACAGCTGTCACCATTTTAAGACAAGTCATCTAGTTCTAATAGCACACCTTTGACATGAAGTGATATTGATATTATGAAAAATACAACTCCATTTATGACAATGAAAGCTGAATGTAGGTGGCTCATGCCTATAATCCTAGCTATCCAGGAGGCTGAGATCTGAGCATCATGGTTAGAAGTCAGCCCAGGTAGAAAAGTCTCCTTGAGACTCTTACCCCCAATTAACCACTCAAAAACTCCAAGTGGAGCTGTGGCTCCAAGTGGTAGAGCACTAGCCCTAAGCAAAAGAGCTAAGGGACAGTGTGTAGGACCTGAGTTCAAACCCCACAACTGCAAAAAAAAAAAGTCAATTAAACATGGCCTTGCACATGCCTAGTAAGCACTCTGCCAATGAATGACACACCAATCCTAACTCAATTAAGTTTCTACAAATTTAGACAGAGGTCCAGATCAGTGATTGGCTTATAAAAAGGGTTTTTGCATGTACAAGTAATAGAACCAACTACAATGTGCAATGCAATTTGGGCTTTTTAAAATTGCCTGCAAAAAGCAGAACTGCATATGCTCTAGAAGATATCTTAGAACAAAAAAGTTATTACACAAAAATTGATGAAATCCCAGAAATGGATGGAGTTTAGTGAAGAATATCAATATTTGTTCATTAGTTATGATAAAGTTAACATATAAATGCAAGATGTCAACACTATGAAAAACTGTATGTAATAAATATAGAAACTTCCTGTAAATCTAAAACTATTCTAAAATAAAGTAACTTAAAATAAAGGGCCATGTATTCCCAGAAACAGAAAACTAGATGTTAACTTGAAGCATGTTTAATTCAGCAATGAGTTACATCATTCAAAAAGATACAGTTACTGATCACCTATTGTTTGAGTTAATGTGTTTAGCTTTAAATATAAAATTAACTCTAAGAAGGATAATGTGGAGCTGACAGTGGAGCTGACAGTGTATGTTTCCCATGAACAAGATGCTGGGAGGGAAGGAAGAAGGAGGAAAAGAGAGAGGAAGGAAGGGGAGGGAAAAAAGGCAATGAGGAAAAAATAAAGGAGAAAGAGAGAGGAGGAAAAAAGGGGAAAGAAAAAAAGGAGGAGGAGAAAAAAGGTCTTAAAGAAAAATACATCTGAATCAGCAATAATGTATATAGCTCTAATAATAAGCTTCAGGAAAAACAATTGAGACTATAAAATACCGTAACTAAAATAATCATCTGAAGAAACAATAGTGAAAGGAAGTAAGAATCATGCTGCTTTAGTTACCAGTAATACTGAATTAGACTTCTGCCATGCACAACAGTGTAATTTTTAGCTACAAGAGCCAGATGGCAGATTTTGAGTTTGGCAAGATATTATTAATACATCGTATGAATCAGCTTCTAAATAGTGCCTTCCTCAAAGGGTTGTTCAGATTAATGACTTACTATATAGAAAGCACTTGTTAGTGCCTGTACTTGTTAGCAAGTATATGGGGATATGATGAAATTTATGAACAGTAATGAAATATTGGTTATATTCCAAATCCCTACCTGTATAAGAGCATCTCTCCGAAAATGACATAATTTAGAACAGATAAACATATTTTATAATATATATGTATTAAATATGCTAATCCAATATTCAAGAAGTGACAGTGATAAAAAAAAGACAAAACATGGCATAGCAAGAAATAGTATTTAAAAGCTACTTATTTATTTTTTTTATCAGTCATGGAGCCTGAACTCTGGGCCTGGGCCCTGGCCCTCAGCTCTTCAGCTGTAGACTACCACTTGAGCCTCAGCCCACTTCTGGCCTTGTCTGCTTATGTGGTGCTGAGGAATTGAATTGAGGGTCTCATGCATGCAAGACAAGCACTGAGCCACCTTCCCAGCCCCTTAAAAGCAACTTTTATCAAACAACTAAGATTAGTAATGCAAATGACAAGTATGACCTTTCATATCAAACACAGAAATAGAATTCTGGGAGGAAAGGACTCATGATATCTTTAAGAACTGAACTATGGCTGGGCATTGGTGGCTTATGTCTGTAATGCTAGCTACTCAGGAGGCTGAGATCTGAGGATCACGGTTTGAAGCTATCCCTGGCAGGAAATTCCATGAGACTTTTAATCTCCAATAAACTGTTCAGAAAAAGCCAGAAGTGGAGCTGTGGCTCAAGTGGTAGAACATTAACCTTGAGCACAAGAAGATAGAGATAGCACCAGACCCAGGATCACAAAAAAAAAAAAAAAAAAAAGAATTGAACAACGTAACATGAATGCTATTTATTTCATTGAGTCACGAATCAATCAAATTTGTTATTTTTTTCAGTCATTTTTTTTTTTCATTTCTTCTACCATCCCCTAGTACAGAAAAGAAGCCATGAGCCAGTGGCTCATGTTTCTAATCCTAACTACCTCAGAGGGTGAGCTTAGTAAAGGTTTGAGGTTCGAGGTCAGCCCAGGCACAAAAGTCCATGATATTCCATTTCCAAAAACAAAAAGACAAGGTAGAAGAATGGCTCAAGTGGTAGAATGCCAGTAAAACAAGCAAGCTGAGCAAGCTCAAGGTTGAGTTCAAACCCTAGCACCAGCAAAATAAAGTAAAAAGTATGCAACTATACAACTGGTTTTTCTTTTAGTTGTTTTTTTATTTAAATGTGGTATCAGGAATTGAACCCAGGGCCTCCTTCATGCTAGACAAGCACTCTACCACCAAGCCACATTCCCAGGCCTAGACTAGTTTTTATGATGAGATCATTTGTAAAGATCTATTAAGTACATAGCTAAAAGAAAATTGTTTGCTGGGTGCTGGTGGCTCACGCCTGTAATCCTAGCTACTCAGGAGGCTGAGATCTGAGGATTGCGGCTCAAAGCCAGCCTGGGCAGTAAAGTTCATGAGACTCTTATCTCCAATAAACCACCAGAAAACTGGAAGTGGCACTGTGACTCAAGTGGTAGAGTGCTGGACTTGAGCTGAAGGACAGCACCTAGGCCCAGAGTTCAAGCCCCACAACAGACAGAAAAACAAGAACAAAAAGAAAATTATTTTCCTATCTGCCTATTTCTGTTATCTACATATTCTATCTACCACAAAAGGATAAGAATGTGAAATTCTTATCTGAAACAAAATCTGAAATTAAAGTTGTATAAAGAATCATTTCAGCTGGGCACCCTGTGGCTCACACCTGTAATCCCAGCTACTTAGGAGGCTGAGATTTGAGGATCACAGTTCAAAGCCAGCCCAAGCAGGAAAGGCCCTGAAACTCTTATCTCCAATAAAACCACCAGAAAAAAAATCCAAGTTGCTACTGTGGCTCAAGTGGTAGAGTGCTGGCCTTGAGCTAAAGGACAACACTAGGCCCAGAGTTCAATCTTCATCTCACAAATTAACACTGTTTTTAAGGTTCAGCATTTAGGTGCACAACTGCATTAGTAATGTGTCTTTAGTAAGGCTTATTTTATTATATTAGTATCACAGGAACTACAAAGCTTGATATTCCTCTTAACTCTGCTTCAAGGAGATGGATGTGAAAAGGCAGACCCCTTCAGGCTTAGGGAATGGTACACAAGGTTTGAAGCAGCCCCATGCTGTGGCTTACAGCCACAACAGTCTTTTCTTAAATGAGTGGACTCTTTGATTATAATTTTCTATGTTTGCCAAGAGCTAATGAGTTTGGGAAACTTGTTACCAATGGAAAGAACTAAGTAGGAATGTATTTTTCAACACATTTCTCCATTTGAGGGAAAAAAATACTGCTATCTAATTCTACTATTAATATAAAAGATGACTGGAAGTATCATACAAATCCTTAGTGAATAAAAGCCCCCCCAAATCTTAGAACACAAATAAAAATTAATCCCTATTTATAGATATTTTTAAATTTAAATTTCCTCCCTCTTTTTTTTTTGTCAGTGCTGGGATTTGAACTCAGGGCCTTGCACTTGCTAGGCAAACACAACCATTGAGCCACTGTGCCAGCCCTTATTTTAATGTTTCTATTTGTAGTATTTTCTTATTTTTATTTAAAATGGGGTAAAATTTCAATGTCTCTTCTATTCTTAATACGCTAAAGCTACAAATTAAAATTCAACTAATATTATGTTAATAATTAAGAACTATTATGACTTTTTAACTCCCATCATCAAAATCTTATTTATTTCCTTTTGTATCAACTCTTTAGTATTAGAAGTTGGGTAACTTTTAAGGTTTTCCCACTAATATATTTAAGTGTAAGTTTGAAATGTATTTCCTTACCCACTAGCTTCTGGAGGAAATCTGACAGTAACCTTTCCCATTTCTGCACCTGGAAGCTCAACAAACTTCCCAACATCTTGTTTTTTCTCAGGTGCCTGAAAAGAAAAACACCAACAACAACAAGCTATACGGTTAAATACTTAAGAATATGTTCACTATACCTACTAAATGACACACTATAGTAGTTATGAACAAAATAATGACTAGACCATCATCCTTGCACTTGGGGACTTAAAAGTCTGATGAAGGAAATAAATAAAAGCACACACCAGTAGTACCGGTAGTGTTTTTAGAGGGTACAGTTAGAACATGTAGTAAAGCTAATCAACAAGCCAGGCACCAGTGGCTCACCCTAGTAATCTTAGCTTTTCAGGAGCCTTTGATCTGAGGATTGTGGTTTGAAGCCAGCCTTAGGCAGGAAAGTCCATGAGACTCCTATCTCCAATTTATCACCTATAAAACAGATATGACTCCAATGGAAGAGCACTAGCTTGAACACAAAAATTCAGGTAAAGTGCTCAGGCCCTAAGTTCAAGCCTCAGGATCACAACAACAACAAAATTTTAAACTGTGAATCAACAATATCCAGGTCTTCAGGAAAAGCTTACAAAGTAGTAAGAACCACATTGGATCTTTCCTGATTTTGGTTTTGTACAGATACGGAGGGTTGAATTCAGGGCCTCAAGCTCTCAATTGTCTTTTTCTACTCACAGACTAGCAATTTACCACTTGAGCCACAAATTCAATTCTAGCACTTCACTGGTTAATTGGAGGTAAGATTCTGTTGCTTTTGTCTGTCCAAGTTGGTTCTGAATAGAGATCTTCTGATCTCTGTCTTCTGGGTAACTAGGATTATACATGTAAGCCACTGACACCTGGTTCCAACCTGCATCTTAAAAAGTGGAAATGTGCCAGGCACCAGTGGCTGCTACTCAAGTAGCTGAGAGCTGAGAATCAAGGTTCAATTTAAAGCCAGCTCCAAAGCCAGCCTGAGCAGAAAAGCCCTTGACACTCTAATCTCCAATTAACCAGGAAGCACTAGCCTTGAGAACAAAAGCTCAGGGTCAGTGCCTGGAGCAGAAATATTTCAGATGGAAAGGCTAAAGGGGCTAAAGGGTTTAAAGGCAAGACACAGAGGCAGGGAAGGGCAATACAGTATCTATGCATAGTATAGGTTCATGAGCAAGGAAGCTGAAATACATTAAGTCCAAAACAGAATGTATAGGCCAGGTAGTGGTGATTCCTGTCCGTAATCCTAGCTACTCATAATGCTGAGGTCTGACAATCACAGTTCAAGGCCAGTCCAGCAGAAAATAAGTCTATGATATTCTTATCTACAATTATAGCAAAATACCAGAAGTGGAGGTGTGGCTCAACTAGTAGAGCACCAGCCTTGAGTGAAAAAGCTGAGCAAAAGTTCAAGCCCCCATACTAACACACAAAGTTTGGACTTGGCTTTTATGCTTCAAGTAATGGCATCCCCTAGGGGAAATGAAATGTTACTTTCATATTTTAAAACACTACCTAGGACAGCTAAGATGCAGAATTAGAGAAAGATAAGACCACATGTGAAATGGTATTTAACAAAGATGCAATAACATAAGCAGAGAAGTAGGGTTGGATACAAAGAAACCCTGTAGATAGGAGAATAAGAGGACTTGTTGACTCATTAGATAGGAAAAAAATGGTAAAGGATTCGCCAAAGTATTAGGCAAATTTTACTACATCAGAAAAACCTTCATTAAATAAGAACTATACTATTCATGTCGACGATGTGAAACCGATCAAATCAGAATGATTCTAGAGAAGAGGACCTTTTCTACTGTACTCTATTCTATATCTTCCTATAGAATTATCAAAAAGATCTGTAGCATCCAAGGACTCAACGGTTAAAAACCAGAAAAGAGAAGATTCAGGAGAAAGACAGTAAAATAATAATAACTAGGTTTAAGGTGTAGATTGAGGGACTGGGACTGTAGTTTAGTGATAGAGTGCTTGCCTAGCATGCATGAAACCTGGGTTCGATTCCTCAGTACCACATAAACAGAAAAAGCCAGAAATGGTGCTGTGGCTCAAGTGGTACAGTGCTAGCCTTGAGCAAAAGAAGCTCAAGGACAGTGCCCAGGCCCTGAGTTTAAGCCCCAGGACTGGCAAAACAAAAAGTGTAGATTGATGGTAGAACATGTGCTTAGCATAGATGAGGACTTGGGTTCAATCCCCAGCACTAAACAACAAAACTAGAGAAAATTTGGTTATATAAAGTTTGAACTGTATACGAAAAATACTGGAGATTCAATCTTTCACAAGTATAAAGATTAGGGCTTTAAGTAATCTACCAGTTAATGTCAAACTAAGATTTAGCAACAGTAGATTCTTCTAAGATAATCCTTTTTCACTGTGAAAAGATAAGGTCATTTCCTGGCAGTGCCTATGAATTCTAGGTTAAGCAAATACTGCCACTGGGATATACTCTCAGTCCCAGAAAATAAGTCTTATGAGTAGCAATAATTTCCTTCTCAGAGCCACACTGAAACATTAGCATTTAAGAAAGGGGGAGGGCTGGGAAGTTGGCACAGTGGGAGAGTGCTTGCCTTGAATGCATGAGGTCCTGGGTTCAATTCCTTAGCACCACATGAGCAGAAAAAGCCGGAAGTGGTGCTGTGACTCAAATGGTAAAGCGCTAGCCTTGAGATGAAGAGCTGAGGGACAGCGCCCAGGCCCAGAGTTCAGCCCCCACAACTGGCCAAAAAAAAAAAAGGGGGGGGAAACGGTCGGACGCCAGTGGTTTACCCCTGTAATCCTAGCTACTCAGGTGGCTGAGATCTGAGGATTGCAGTTTGAAGCCAGCCTGGGCAGGAAAGTCTGTGGCAGTCTTTATCTCCAATAAACTCCACAGAAAAAATGGCTTAAGTGGCAGAGAGCTAGCCTTGAGCACAAAGAACAGCACCCAAGTCCTGAGTTCAAACCTTAGGACTGGCAAAAAAAGAAAAAGAAAAAAAAAGAGAGAAAGGAGGAGAACAAGGAGGGAAAGGTAGGAGAAGGGGGGAGAGAAGAAGGAAGGGAAGGAGGGAGGGAGGCAAACAGGCTTACCACTTTAGCTTTGCTTGTTGAAACATCCCACTTGGTATCTACTGACTGGAAGGCCTGCTGGGCTTCAAGAAAACCAAACCAGCGTTTTACATGAACTGGAGCCTTGTTCTGTTTCATTTGTTCTTGCCATGCAGCACTTCCTATTAGCAAACATAATTTAAAAACTATTCTATAAATCTGCAACCTCAAAAGCAAAGTTCTAACCATGGTTAATTCACGTAAAAGAGATTCAAGTCCTTCTTCTGCAATAAAAAAAATTTACACATGTCCTAACACTTCAATGTATTTTACAGAGTTGAAAAAAATCACTTTTTCTTACTCATGCCACACACACTGTAAAACCAACACTTAATTAAGAAAAAGATTTCAAGATGAACTAGAAAAAACAAAATCAAGATAATCAAGATGCTCTCTGGATGCTGCTGGTAGCTAATACTTGTAATACTAATCCTAACTATTCAGGAGGCTTAGATCCATAGGATCAAGGCTTGAAGCCAATCCAGGCAGAAAAGTAGTGAGAATTCATCTTCAAAATAAACCTAAAACTGAACTGGAGGTATAGCTCAAGTGGCAGAGCACCAGCCAAGCAAGCAACCTAAGTGAGTAATGGATCTTGAGTTCAAACTCCACTAATGGCAAGAAAAAAAAAAGGCACTTAAGTCTGTTTAGCAGTTCAGCATTACAAAGCTACATTCTTAAAAGAACAGTAAGAAGCCAAGAGCCAATGTCTCATGCCTGTAATCCTAGCTACTCAGGAGGCTGAGATCTGAAGACTGGTTCGAAGACAGCGCAGGCAGAAAAGTCCCCCATCAGACTCTTATCTCCAATTAAACACTCACAAACCAGAACAGGAACTATAGCTCAAAGTGGCAGAGTGGTAGCTTTGAGCCAGGCCCCGCGTTCAAGCCCCATGACCAACCAAAAAAAACAAAACCAAAAAACAAAAAAGATAAAAATGAAGGACACTCCCGTAATACTAGCAAGGGAGGCTAAGGTAGGAAGGAGTCAAGTCCAGAGATAAGGGCATGACTCAAGTAGGAGTATCTGCCTAGCAAGTGAGGCCAAATTCAAATCCCAGCGCCTCAATAAAATGTATTTTAAGTAAGTGGATTTTTCTGTATGTAAGTTATATTTCATGAAGCTTTTTTGTCTCTTCAAAATAAAAGGCTAACAGGTTTCCCAAGTTGATAAACACTTCTTCCTATGTGCAGCAAACTAGTTGTAAAAGAGGAATAAGTAACCTCCCAGAAAAGTGACGCCTCAAATCACTAAAATAGCCCTTCTTATAGTCTTAGTGATTTTTCCAATGCGAGCTAAGTGTAATGTCCAAAGTATGGATGAGGCAGCAAAGTGCTGATATAAGAGACTGAGGATTTTAAGCAAGAATGACAAACACAAAGGCAAGAGGAATTTAAAAGAAAACCCCCAGGGCTAGTAGAGGACAAGAGATTCCTGTAACTGGATATAAATAAGAAATTTGGAATGACTACTCTAGATGAACCCTCTTAAGTTATGGCCTAAACATGTGTGTATGTATAGGTTGGGTGTGTACACATACATGCATGGACATGTGTGAATACTTTTTATCCAGCAAAATATTAAAATATTAAATGATCAAAATAAAGTATTTTATTTGAGCTTGGTGGTACATAATTGTAATCCCAGCCTCTTGTGAGGCTGAGGCAAAAATATTGCTTAGGTTTAGGAGTTTAAGGTCAGCCTAAGCAATAGTCAGCCTCCAATTTAAAAAAAAAGAAAAAAGCCAAAATCATAGAATGCATATTTTAAGAGGAATTACTGATACCTTTTAAGGTGGCCCACACACATAGATCTGCTAAGGTCAAGGAGTTCCCAACTAAGTATGTTCTCAAAGACAGGCAATGATTAAGCTCGTTGATGGCAGAAGTAAACAAATTACATGAAGGTAATTTTGTAGACCTGAACTCCAACCAGTGGTCAATCTGTAAACACAAAGAGAGAAAAGAAATACACTGCAGAGTTTAGACTTTTGAAAAAGATGACCACAAGAAAAAATGGCAGTAATCGAGCACAACATATTTGACTTCCTAATATAAAAACATACTTTTCTTATCTCAAATATTTGAATTATGTGGATTCAATTTTAGAAGCACAGGATCTAAGGTGGCACTTAGATAAATACCGTATTTTGTTACTTTCCTGAAGATTTGTGGAAGGGTATTTCAGGAAGAACAAAAAAACATAAGACACTTTAGAACTGATATGCCTACTGCCTTATCTACAAAGCATGAAAACTGGATGGAATGATCTATACAGTGTCATGTGCCCATGATATTCTAGGAAAGTAGGAAGATGAAGATGCACTGAATGCCCCCAAAGTACAATTAGTTTGGGAAAAACAACTTTTTTTTTTTTTTTAAGAAAGAGAAAAATATTCTATTCTCTACTACAGTGGTGATCCAGCCCAGGGCCTGGCACATGCTAGACAAGTTCTCCATCACTGAGCTGTACTAATTCTGAGAATTTTTCTTTTAAAAAAATAAAACCACAGCTGGGCGCCGGTGGCTCACGCCCGTAATCCTAGCTACTCAGGAGGCTGAGATCTGAGGATCTCGGTTCAAAGCCAGCCCGGGCAGGAGAGACCCTGAGACTCCTATCTCCAATAAACCACTAGAAAACCGGAAGTGGCGCTGTAGCTCAAGTGGTAGAGCGCTCGCCTTGAGCTGAAGAGCTGAGGGACAGCGCCCAGGCCCAGAGTTCAAGCCCCATGACCGCCAAAAATAAAAATAAAAAAATAAAACCACAATAAACATTTCTTAATTAACACTGTAGAGACAATGTACTGTAAGACAATATTGTTCTCAAAAATCCAAAAGCAATAAATTAAAATAAACAAAACATACAAATAAGTGTTTACCTCAGTATGTTCCATCAGGTTGGTGCCATAGAGCCCAGCTGTAGTGGCAACTCTGGCCAAATAGCGAAGTATGGAATTCACATCTGTGAACACCACATTCCTAGAGTAAAAGCATGAGGTAAAATATTGCAGTCGCTCTAGTAAACAGTAAGTTGTAAGACTATGGAATATATGTAAAAAATGGAAATCCTAATATACTTTCTAAGTTCTTTTCACTACAGCAAAATAGATTTGCTTACTTACTTACCTGTTTCTATCCAATTCTAATTTGTTATAAAATATGGGGCTAAACCCACTAATTACTTCAGAGTGGTCTATGCGTGCACACGTGCGTGTGTGCGCACACACCCACACCCACACACAATTGTATAATGCCTTCTAATTTTAAAAATACAACTTCATCAAAGTACTATTTCACCAGGATGGTGGTGAGCTAGTACTCAGAAGGCTGCCTAGCCAGTTCAAGAATCTGAATAAAAAGCGTAACACCATCACACACACACACTATTCTGCTAGGATATCTCTGAGGCAAAAACTGAAAAATTATTCCCTAAGGAGTTAAACCAAATCTCTTCTCTGGATAATCTCATCAGCCCAAGAAGGAAAGAACTAAAGACACTGACATCAGAAGTTCCCCAAATGAACAGATTAGCTAGACTTTCCTAGAGTAAGCTCAGAATTAATAGAACCAACTCTCAGTTCAGAAATTACCATTCTCACTGCTTTCATGCTAACTACAAAAGAACTACTACCAGAGGTTGTCAGATGTTTGAAAAAAGCCTGTAATTTTAAAGACAGTGACCAAAATAAATAATGAAACAAAAATTGCAATCAGGGCTAAAGGTATAGCTTAGTGGTAGTATATACAAGCTTAAGACCCTAGGTTCAATCTCCAGCATCTTTACAACCAAAGAAAAATAAACATATAAACAAATAAATTAAGAACAGGGTATTATAAAAGGATTATCCAGAAACATATAACAGAACTCTCAAAGGCTAGCATAGTGTCTGACACCTGTAATTCCAGTATGCAAGAGACAGAAACCAGAGGATGTTCAGTCCAACGCTGCCTGAGCTACATAGAAAAGCCTTGTTCTAAAGAAACCAAACAACAACAAAGAACAAAAACCCCAGAGCTCTGATAAAAATATGTGATAGCAGAAATTAAATGTCATCAAGAAATATTGGATAATAAAATTGAAAAAAAACTAGAAACAAAAGAAAATGCAGATGAACAACTTAAGAAAACAGGAATTACCTGAATACTCTCATTAATAAAACAGAAAATGGAGCTGGGGGTGGGGGAGCTGGGAATGTGGCTTAGAAGTACAGTGTTTGTCTAGCATGCATGAAGCCCTAGGTTTGATTCCTCAGTACGGCATAAACAGAAAAAGCCAGAAGTGGCATTGTGGCTCAAATGGTAGAGTGCTAACCTTGAACAAAAGAAACTCAGGGAGGGGCTGGGAAGGTGGCTCAGTGATAGAGTGCTTGCCTTGCATGCATGAAGCCCTGGGTTCAATTCCTCAGCATCACATAAAGAAAAAAGCCAGAAGTAGCACTGTGGCTCAAGAGGTAGAGCACTAGCCTTGAGCTGAAAGCTGAGGGACAGTGCCCATGCCCAGAGTTCAGGCCCCAGGACCGGACCAAAAAAAAAAAAAGAAGAAGAAGAAGCTCAGGGACAGTGCCCAGGTCCTGAGTTCAGACCCCAGGGCTGGCACAAAAAAGAAAAAAGAAAACAAAATGAAGCTGGGTACTGTCTACACCTATAATCCTAGCTATTCAGGAGGCTAAGATCTGATCATGGCTGAAAGCTAGCTCAGGCAGAAAAGTATATGATACTCTCATCTCCAATAACAACCAAAAAGCTGGATGAGGAGCTGTGGCTCAAGTAGCAGAGTACCAGCCTTTGGCAAGAAAGTTAAAAGACAGTGTACAGACCATAAATTCAAGTCTCTTATATAAAGCCAGGCCACAGTGGTGGACACCTGTAATCCCTGCAGAATGACCCTGAGTTTCAGGCTAGCCTGGGTCACATAAGGACTTGTCTCAAAAATAAATAAATCTTTACATGTAAATCTTTCTTCACATTTCTAGTTTTTTGTTTTTGTTTTTTGTCAGTCATGGGGCTTGAACTCTGGGCCTGGACGCTGTCCCTCAGCTCTTCAGCTCAAGGCTAGCGCTCTACCACTAGAGCCACAGTGCTACTTCCGATTTTCTGAGTGGTTTATTGGAGATAAGAGTCTCACGGCCTTGCCTTCCCAGGCTGGCTTTCAACCATGATCGATAGATCTCAGCCTCCTAGGTAGCTAGGATTACAGGCCTGAGCCACTGGCGCCTGGCATATTTCTAGCTCTTAAAAACAGATAATGAGTGAAATCACATAGCTAGCTGACAAATATAAATCCCTGTATTCCATCCTTTTAGAATAAAAAGCTCACTTCTTTCTAGGAACAACTCACCAAATGAGCAAGTGAAATAAGCATATAATATTTAATGCTGATTATTTTTAATAGTACTGAAAATAGAGCACTTACTCAGAAACATGAAGAAGAGTCTCTTTTCCTTCTTCAACAGAAATGCTGACATCACCTTTCACATGTTCTACTGCCAGCAACGCTTCTAAAAATGGAGGATGAAAAGATTTATTTCTGTTTAATGACAACTCAATATTTATAACTTGGATCATAAAAGCAGTAAGGATGAGTCAATAATCCAGCATTAAGTCTTAATGGGAATAAGCTATTTTCTCAGTAGTTTATAGTTTAGAAAGCCTACAGGAAGTCTTATGTTTTATCTCAGAGAAATAACTGAAGAGCAAACTAAGGCTTGGACTACCATGGTAGTCAGCATCTGAAAGCCGAATTAAGGCAATCTTGATCTCAAATTCTAACACTCTGCATTTCAAATTAAAGCCTCAGTATTGGCATGCAGACACAGACACACACAGAGAACACATTGAGTATAGTTGCTATGAATTTTTACATTGTAAAAAGAGAAATGTTCTTCTCACAGAAAAATGCTACCTATTAAATGTAAAAATAATTGTACAATTGGAAGGTCACCATGACAATCAACATCATAAATTAGATCCTGAAACAATGCATGGATGAAAGGAGCTGTTCATATGGTTCAGTTTGCTCCATTAAATTATCTGTAAATTGAAAGAAAAAACTGCAGCTGGGAAAGTGGGCTGACACCATCTTAAGTGATCAAGGATAAAATCATTAGGAATGGGAAAATTCAACTCATGTATCACTAATGGGCTGCAATGATAAATAAGAAATCATATTTGCAATGGAGAACAAGGATTATTGTGTTATTCCTGCCAAAGATGCATAGAATAAATCTGACTACAAGGAAATGTCAGACAACTAGACTAGGGGGTACTCAAAAGTAAGTGACTTTTAATCTTCAAGGACAAAGCTATGAAAATCAAGGTTAGACCATTAACCCATTCCAGATTGAAAGAAACGGGGAAGACATGACAATACGGTGGTCCTAGACAGAATGTGGACTTTGCTTATGACAGCTATTACTGGAACAGTTAGTGTTAGATTAATAGCGTTTGTAGGTATGGGAATTGTATCAATGTGTATTTTCTGACTTTGATGGTTGTGTATATCAGGTACAGAGTGTTTGCTTGTGGGAGATGTACACTTGGAAGATTCTAGGGAGGTAAAGTACCAAGTTCTCTCTCCTATCATTTTTATATATGAACTTATTTTAACATTAAAAGAACATAAACTATACATATAATATAGGGAAAGTCTAACAATGTAATCTATTTTTGCTAAATGCTTCATTTAATTTTATTGAAGATAAAACATGGAATTTGAGCAAGTGAGAAAAATTAACTGAAAGTCAAGAGAAGCAACTAGAAAATTAACATATATATTCTAAAACTGGTACAGAGTTCAAAATGACAAATTTCTTGACTCTTCTAATATTGACAAAATAGCTCTGAGTTCTGTAACTTATAAAGAAAACAGATCTATTATCACCAGAGTGATTTTCTAAGTGACGTAAGTTAGAATCACAGCTATTTATTACACACCTAAAAGGTGTCAGAACTTTATCTCTAAGTCTTATTTCATTCCACCTTTCTTATACAAGGAAAGGGAAAGTAAGCAAGGAACACATCCAAGTTCCACAACTTGTACTTAGCAGTCAGGACTGAGGCTTAGGCCTCCATCAACCAAATAAATGCCTTTGCCCACAACCACTAGACAGTGGCTAAACTATTATCTAGTGCCTTTCCATCCCCAAATCAAATCTACTTCTTTTATAGAGCTTATTGATTTGCTGTGATGTTAACACATAATTACTGGAACCAATATACTAAAACGTTATCATTTTAATTATTCAAGCCGGCTAATGGTTTATAGGGCCAGGAAGGGGGATGGGAGTTGGGTAGTGTAGTGCTTGCCTAATATATATAAAGCCTTTCTCAGAAACACACGCTGTTTTTAATATGCGCAGACAAACATCAACCTCGAGAATCATCCCCACATGACTCTTCCTATTTAAAATTCTCTAAAATACTTTATGTGCCTAGATCCTTAATATGCATTAACATAAGCGAGTTTATTAAGCTTAAATTCTTCAGGGTAATTTCTCAAAGTAATGAAAAAGTCGAAATCCTAAGCGATCTAACCACCACAGCAATCGCAGGCTGAACTCAGAAGCTGTATCAAGAAAGCAGTACGGCTGACATTTGTGGAGTACATCACCCCATCAGTCTATGTGCCTACATACTCCACCACCTTTAAATAAAAATGAGTGCGCTCTCATGTAACATTCTAAATGCTATCATGACCTGTTCCCTTTGAACTGGATAAAACATATAAGTCGGGTCAAGTGAATTCGGGATCTTGGGGAGAATGTGAACAAGTGGGGAAGGAAACATGCTATTTCTAAGAGGAGTCACCCCACCGAGAGAAGATCCCAAATGAAGACTCCAGTGGCCCGGGCTAACACCGCGCCTCCTCCCACACCCTCGCAGACAGACCTAGGCAAGGGAGGCCTCCGGAGGCCCGGGACTGGGCCGTGGGCCCCGAACGACTCAGTTCAGTCAGGGGTTAAGTAAAGCCAGGCCGCATCTTCCAGACGGTGACTGCCACTGCGCCAGGCCGGGCCCCGGCGACATCCCTGCCCCGCACCCCTCCGGCTGATGCAACCCCGCACAGGCCGGGTGGCCTCGGCTCCTTACCCAGGGGAGGGTCTCCGGGATTCACCGTGAGACAGAGCTTCGCCATCGCCTCGGGTCTGTAGGCTCACACAGTCGGGACGCTGAAGCCACACGGCAGACTGACTGCAAGCGACAAGGTGCAACGTGTGCAAAGCGCGCCGCACGCCAACGCCGCAGCAGGTCCCGCCCCGCCCGCGTGCCGCGACCGCTGACGTCACAGCGCAAGACGACGTGCGTCATCACAGCGCGTCTGTCTCTAACCGGGGCCTCCGGACACGCCCGCGAGTTGGGATCCCGCGGGTCTGGGCCCACGTGACGTTGCGCCACTGAGTGAAGCCGAGGATGATGTGGCTTTTGCTGTTAAGGTGTAAATAAAACAACAAAAAACACTTTTACTTTCATCGTGCCTCACATGACAGCAACGCACACTAGAAAACACAAAATTACTCGTAAGTAGTCCACCCAGGCCAGGCCAACCGATTGCAGGTATTATTAACTTCTTGTGTGAGAAAACTGAGGCCCAGTGTCGAAACAGCCGGCTCTTGTAGTATCTTTAATCGTACAAAGAGGTCGTTCAGCCTCGTCAGGGCGTCCCGATCAGTGTCACCCGCTTCCTCGTTCTCCCCATCTCTCCCCACCCCACCTGTCCCCTAGGTTGTCCTAGCTCCGTTTGAAACATCCTGTTTTTAAAGGTGGTCATGGAGCTATGGAAGAAAGGAATCATGGTAGATGACCGCGGTGTATTAAGAAGTGGAACGGTAGCCGGGCGCTGGTGGCTCACGCCTGTAATCCTAGCTACTCAGGAGGCTGAGATCTGAGGATCGCGGTTCAAAGCCAACCCCGGGCAGGAGAGATCGTGAGCCTCCTATCTCCAATAAACCACCAGAAAACGGGAAGTGGCGCTGTAGTTCAAGTGGTAGAGCGCTTGCCTTGAGCTGAAGAGCTGAGGGACAGCACCCAGGCCCAGAGTTCAAGCCCCACGACCGACCAAAAAAAAAAAAAAAGAAGTGGAACGGTGTGTCCATCCGCACAGTAGAAAGTTGGTGTGTGAGGATACCATGATAATCTCTGGAGGGAGAGGGAGGTTGTTTTCTGTTGTTCTGGTGCCAGTCCTGGCGCTTGAACTCAGATCCTGGCCACTGAGCTTTTATGTTCAAGGCTAACACTCCACCCCTTGAGCCACAGCTTTTTTGGTAGTTAATTGGAGATAAAGAGTCTCCCAGACTTTCCTTTGAACCGCCATCCTCAGATCTCAGTCTCCTGAATAGTTAGGATTAGAGGCTTGAGCCACCATCACTCTGCTAACCCAGTCTGTTCTACATGCTGTTTCCATTGCTGTTCTTGTGTGGTGAGGACCTTAGCAGGCAATGCAGACAGTCCTGCCTAGCTGGATTGACAGGGTCATGATTCTTGGTAGATACGAAGTATTAACATAATGCATTCTTTTTTTCTATGAATGTTTTGGAGTATGTGATATCTTATCTGGAGTTGGTACATGAATCCTAGACCCTCGACTTTTCATTTCTTTGGACCACCTGTATGTGCAGTAAGTCTGTTTAAGATCAGAAGAGGATTTTTCATCTACCTTTTATCTGTGGCCACTCATGCCTCTTCCCAAGACTCAAAGTGCTCCTCCCAGTTTGAGAAAGGTCTACTTCACACACTGTGTGTATACTTGCTGGACTATCTTGGGTTTTTCTGCTCTGTTCTTTATTTTTTGCTTATGTGGTGCTGAGGAATTGAACCCAGGGCCTCATGTATGCAAGGCGAGCACTCCACCACTGAGTGACCTTCCCAGCCCGTTATCTTGGGTTTTTCATAAGAGGAGTGACTACTAATAATTCAGGGGAGCACAACCACATATGGTGTCTTTTGTTTCAATTCTTGCACAAAGAACGTAACCTGAAATAACCAGTTAATTAATCCATTATTTTCCTATTGTTCTGTTGTCTCCTTATCCCACCTTTCAATGCATGCTGCTGTGCATGCATTCTGTTGTTGGCTGAACTGCCTGTCCTCGTATCTGGGGAGTAAACTTTTGCTTATGCATTGGCACTTGACTGATCAAGGTGCCCACATTGAATTCCTTTGTGGGTGTACTTTTGCATTTGTACTCTTACTTTCTCCATACTAAATCATGCTCAACTAAAATTTCTGTGTCAACGTTGAATTCTTTCTTTGATGAGACTAAGAAGTGTCATTTGTCTTCACTGACAAATTTGGAATAAAAAAATTAAAATAATTAAGAGAGAAAAAAGTGCTTACTTTCTTGAAGACCATCACTATTAAGGGAAATTGCTTCTAAAGGTTAACAGGATTTTTAAAAAACATGGTTTTATTAGAGATCAAGTATAAGCAGGCATGGTGGCTCAAGTCGTGTAATTCGAGCTACTTGAAAGGGAGCAACTGTGGTTTCAGGCCAGCCCAGGCCTGAAATTCATGAGATTCTATATCACAACTAATGGTTGGGCATAGTGGCACAGCTTGTCATCCTCAGAATAGGAGGAAGTACAAGGAGCAGAAGATAGCAGGGAAGATTGCAGCCTAGGCTGGCCCAGGCATTAAGCAAGACTATCTTAAATACAACAAACTCAAAAAGGGGATGAAGGCATGGCTTAAGTGGTAGAGAATCTGCCTTGGAGATTTGGGGCCTTATGGTCAATCCTCAGTACCCAACATGACATTATAAAGTTTTATAAAGATGTAATGAAAATGAATTAATCTCATAATAAAGGATTTATAATTTTCAAATAATTCTATAAAGCTGATAAATAACATAAAAACTAGGATTCAGGAAGTGGTGCTGTGGCTCAAGTGGTAGAGCACTCGCCTTGAGCTGAACAGCTGAGGGACAGCGCCCACGCTCAGAGTTCAAGCCCCATGACCGACAAAAAAAAAAACCCAAAACAACAACAACAAAAAAAAACTAGGATTCAATAATTTATTTTAAAGAAACTTTCCCAACAAGTATACCATCAACATACATAGTAATATTATATATATATATTTATAATTGGAGTAAGAGCGCTTTAAAAATTACCCTGAAAAATAAGTGAAATACTAGAACAACTTAATATTTTGTGCCCTAAAGAAATCTGGTTTCGGAATGTTGATTAAATAAATGATCTAGATAGTAAGGTAGAACTAAACATTTCCCCCCATTTTTCCACATAAAAATAAGAGAAAAAAAGACCTCACACTGAATTTATAAATTCTCTCTGTATGTAAACCAGTCTGGCTGATTAGTTCATAAAATTAAATTTCTTGTTTTGTTTTTTCTTCTTCTTTCTCTTGTGTAGCCCAGCCTGACCTTGATGGCTTGGAATTTGAGGTCCCCTTCCTCTCAAGTAGTTGGGAGTTACAGGCGTGTATCACCATGCCCAACAGGAAAAAGAATACACAAAATTTATTATATGTCCAAGGTATTAGATCCCTAGAAAGATAAATTCTTTAAGCTATTTTCTATTCCTAAGTAACAAATACAAGTCACTGATCAATAATCAATAAAGAGTTCTAATTCCTTCCAATCAGCTTTAAAATGTATTGTTTTGAGAACCAAGTCCACGAGGCTAAGTAAATGATTCCTTTAAGGAACAAGTGCTTTCTTAACAGATTCTGGGACTCGGCTTGCATAGTAGTCATAATTCCTTAGTGTGGCCAGGACACCTGCAGAGTTCATATGCTTCACCTCCTTATTGTACTGAAGGGCATTCCCATGGACATCGGTTAACTTTCCTACAGAAAACATCAACAAAATGTTAGTGGATAGTTGGATCATATTTCAAGTATTTTTAAGGGGTGGAGTGAGGTGCTATGTATTGAACCCAGAGCAGGGCACATACTAACCACAGGCTCTACCACTTAGCTACCTCCTTGACATATCCCTTCTAGTTATTTTTAAATGACTATTGCCTCTCTAAAAGAATCCCATAAGTTCTGGAAAAAATGTAAGGAACCATAAAGTTCAGATTTTTATTTTATTTTTATTTTTGCCAATCATGGGGCTTGAACTCTGGGCCTGGGCGCTGTCCCTGAGCTCTTCAGCTGAAGGTGAGTGCTCTACCACTTGAGCTACAGCACCACTTCCAAAGTCAGCTTTTAATTTCCATGAATTTAAGACTCTTTTTTTTTTTTTGGTCCGGTCGTGGGCCTGAACTCTGGGCCTGGGCGCTGTCCCTCAGCTCTTCAGCTCAAGGCTAGCACTACCACTTGAGCCACAGCGCCACTTCCAGCTTTTTTC